GCACTGAAAACTATGGAATTATGGACAGCTATTTGATTACAGTTAGGCTGACTCCATAATTCATACACATTGTTATATCGTTAAAAAAAACTTGTATCAACTCGATTGTATTCATTTAGTGGTCTAATCTGTCTCTCGAAACTTGGATGATCCATTCTACTAGTCCTGGTTAGTTTTTGCTTGCTCTTTACTTCATCTTTACCCGTAAAGAGATGTGTAAGTGCAATGCTTTATGTTGTAGTACCCCGAATACATTTTTATTCATATTTTATTTTGTTCAATCCTTTTATTAACTTATTTCACATACAGAGTCATTTGTATAACAACAACTTATCTGTACCATTGTGCTTTTAATATTGTCGCGTTTGTATGAGCAGCTATGACTGAGCATTGCTTACCGCCTATACACATATTGATTCTACTCAGTTTTTTTAAAATCCGATGTCTCATTCAATTTTTCTGCGTATATATATGTACATTTTAATTCTACTCACTAACGCGCACACTGGCCTACCCGCTTGCTTTTCGGTACTCTCACGTCATTTTCGCTTCGTGTGCTTATGGTTTGTGATCTGTGTGTAGTGCGATAATAAACGCGTTCGTCTTCTGATTTACGCACCGTTGGGCGTTATCTAGTAACGGTTATCAGGACAAGCAGTGTATGAAGTTTAGGAATTATATGGAATAGGAACGACCCATAGAACGGATAATCCCGCAATCATCACATTGCTTAAGTTCTACAATTTTTTAACAGCATAAGAAAACTTATCATGGATTTTTTTTGAATTCTGAATTGAATCAGATAAAAAACAGATCAATACTTATGCCAGTTCTTTCTCCATGTTGTATTTACTTCTTTGTGATAGTATTAACTAGAAGAAAAGTGATTTATTTATTGCATAGAAATGAAATACACCAATTATTTGTTTTTGGACAATATAGTTGCAGTCAATTAAAAAGTCTTTATACACTTGTCAATCATAGAATATTATTTTTTTGGAAAATATATTTTATATGTAAGCCAGATGGTCGGTTTACTTTTACTCACAATAATTCAAAGACCAGTATGCAAATAATTTCCAGTTTGCTTCTGTTTACATTATTATTATTATTATTATTGTTATTATTATATTGCTGAAGTTTTCTTGCCCATTATCTATTAGCTATATTTGATAGACAGTTTCAGTAGTTTTAAAACTTACCGTCGTTATGCTACATGATTTTCAAAACATATTAAATAGGCAATTAGCGATAAAATGTAACGGTATCTTAAAAGTAGTATACATTGCACTGTGATATAATTAATTTTCTTAAAACCAGTTCAAATATACACGCACAAGAAACAAGAAAGTATAAATGTGCTTCATTTTGGCTTGTTTCATACATTTAAACAAAGCTGGATCGATATTATTTGTAGAATACAAAAAGTTCGTTGTTTTGCATTGTATTCCCTTCACCGCCTTACAGGCTAGTGGGTTTAGTTATTTTGATGTATTAGCATAGTTATATCTGTCACCCCTCATGGACAATAGGCTATCGACTATCAATCTCCAATCAACTCTATCTTGACCTTTCATTTCCATTTGTTCATTCTTTTAATATTTACCTCGGCTTCTTAGAACTTTGTGTTCTTTGATCTTCCTCTTTTCCCTTGAACTTTTAAAAATTCCAAGACCTGTATTGTGGTGCAGCTCGGTGATTTCCACAATGTAAGTCCTGAATATGCGTGAAGCTCTTCTAGGGTTCTTGATGGGTCCAAAGCTTCGATAAAAGAGAAGGATTGGGCATAGTGTTATCAATCTAATCTTACGGAAAACCAGCTTTCTTGAAAAACGATACCAAAAGAAATATATATTATTACATAATATAATATATTTTATATGTAAAAATATAATTTGTTCTTTTGAATGTAAATATTTTCAGTTAGAGTTTTGGAGATTTGTGTTTGTAAACACTTGAAATCGTCAATCAATCATTGTTAGACCAACTTTAGAAACCTGGAAGCACTGGAAGACGGCCGTTTTGTTCTGGTATGTGACTCATCAGCAGTGCGCATCCACGACTCCTGCACCTCGCAGGATTAGGACCCAGGACCTTCGGTATTGTGCTCAAACGCCTAACCTTCGGAGGACTGGGTCGGCATCCAACTGTGTTAATGTTTAATTCTGATTGATCTATGGGTTTTGTGCGACCTGAGAGGTGAAGGAGTCGTGGATGGGCACTGCTGATGAGTCCCATACCAGGACAAAACGGCCGTCTTTCATTGCTTCCAGGTTTCTAATGGTGGTCTAACAATGATTGATTGATGATTTCAAATGTGTAACAATATAAACATATTTGAGAATGAAAGTAACAACAGGTTTTTATAAATGTTTAGAGTAACAGTTATAAAATACAATATCAAAGCCAAACTGTTTTTCTACCCATAATACTACACTTCTGTTTCTAAATATTTTTTACTGTTCTGAGAATGTAAGCTGCATAGTTAAGCAATGCATAAATGTACAAGTTAACGGCAATAAGCATCGATGTTGTCTAGAACGACAGTAAAAAAAATAAGAGACGGTTTATGAGTATTATCACTCAGTCAAGGAGAATACCCCATATCAATAAAAACATATACTACTGACCAATCGATAGTGTAATTTTCCCATATTCTATAGTAGTATATAAACAATTTGAATGACAGCTTCACTAATAACTACTTTGTGATTGTAACCGACTTTTCTTTATTTTACTACAATTTGATGAAAGAAAGAACTATGTCATTTACTGTAAACTGATTGTATATACCATTGCATAATGTTTGTTTTTGAAGTTGAATGGTTTTGCGTGGCTGGAAAAAAATGTTTCTTTGTATATATATATATATAAATTCAATCAGTTGTCCTTCATTTTACTTAAATTTCACATTCTTCTTTTTTATTCCAAATATACGGAAATATTTTTTTTATTGAGAGGAAAAAAATTCAATTATTTGCTATACAGATCTTCATAAGCTTAAATTTCATTAAATTCTACTGTTTCCTTTCCGTCACGTCTTCTCTTTTTGTTTCCTTCTGTCTTCAAATGTCTTCTGATCGGCTAGACAAGATGAATTTCATCTTTTAGTTAGGAGTTTAGAAAAAATGAATATTGATAAAATGGAATGCATGAAAAAATATGGTAGTTTGATTTGTGTGTTTGTGTGTGCAATTTACAGAATAAATTCTTTTGTTTTCTTAACATGCATACGTCTTTAATGGAACTTTGATATTTTGCATTATAGAGTTGTGAAGATTGTTAAGATATACACATCTGAAATCATGAATCGATCAATGATAGACCACCATTGAGGAAACTTGGAAGTACCAGAAGATGGCGGTTTCTTCCTGGTATGGAACTACTCACCAGTGGCAGTGCGCTTCCACGACTTCTGCACCTCGCAGGACATTAACACCGTTAGATACCGGCTTTGTGATCCAGGTGGTAGGCGTTCATGTACAAGAACGAAGGTGCTATGTTCAAATACTGGGAGGTGCAGGAGTCGTGGATGCACACTGATGATGAGTCACATACCAGGACGAAACGGCCTTCTTTCAGTGCTTACATATTTCTAATGGTGGTCTAACATTGACTGATTCATAATTTTAAATGTTGAATATTTTGGTTGATTTTAAGTGTATTCACAATAAAGTCTGTATGGTTGGTACAAATTGCTGTCTCTCTAGCTATTCCATCACACATGCTGATGGCCATTTGATCTCACTTGCTCAATGAATGATGCTTTGATATGTAACTTTCAGTGTGGACATCATCATCAATATATAGCTAAAGGATTGTAAATAGGATGAATTAGCCGACTGGTATTTCAGCTATGT